TATGTCTATAAAAGAAAAACTGTTGTGCTGGATACGTGCCTTGTTTCAGTGGGGCTTTGGTGCTCACTGAGTCCATCTCCCGAATGTGTAACTTATGGGTGTGAAGAGTTGAAACTGAAGAGTAGGAACACTGGCTTCTGCATCTCCAATGGGGTACACTTCAGCTACTGTCTGAGTCCACCCTACAGGAGCTACAGCAAGAACCACAGTCCTCTCCTCCCTGCTTGGAGCTTGGAGGTTTTGGAACTGTCTGCACCAGGTTGCAAGTTTGCTAGGTTAAACTGCAGTAGAGATGGCCATTCATATGCAAAAGCTGCTGCTTGGAGCTTGGGTGTGTTTGTAGACTGTGTGGGGTGGAGTCTCAGGGTGGAGTCTCAATGTGTCTCTAGTTTAGGGCATGGCTAACAGTGATGGCTGCCCATCAGCCATTTCTGCCTCTCCAACCACGTCCCCGGGTCTCCCCGAGTCTCGAGCCCCCGCAGAGCAAATAATTATTCTTGCACGCAGCTCTGTAAGTAAGCCACCTTCACTTTCCGACTTGATGGCAGACAGTCTAGCTTCTCTCCAGAAAATGGATTTCAGAGAGATTGGGAGATTGTCTCTCTTTAGGTTGAAGAAAGCAATGCCCGCCCCCAGCCAGGATCCGCTACCAGCCCATATCATACGTGCACTCCCCTACCTTAGTTTTTCAGTGCTTGTGCTATGAATTCTCCTTTCTCTTTCAGTCTAGTTGTAGAGGTTCCTTTCAGCCAGCTTTCTCATGGTTTTGGGTGATAGATGTTTTGTCTTTTAGTTGTAGTTTTGAAATTGTTGTGCATGGCAGCAGTTTAGGTGTGTTTACCTACACCGCCATCTTTTCCTTTCCTGTTTTTTTTTTTGGTTTTTTTTTTTAATTGTAGCCATATCAAACTTCATTTGCTCTTGGTTCTCACATATGTTGTTGATTTTCTTGTCCAGTCTGTTTAGGAACTTTATGAGCCTTACTCTGAACTTGGTGACATATTGATTGCCTCCATTTCATTTAGTTCCTTTTCTGGTGGTTCCTCTTTTCATTTTTTGGGGGGGAGGGGTTGCTTCTTTGTCTCCCCATTTTTGCTGTCTCTTTCTGGCCCTGGGCTCCCTGCTTGGGGTTTGAGGTTGAAGACACTATCAGGGCAATGATCTTGAAAATTGTTAGTCCAGAGGCTGGGTCGGGCTTGAGTCTCACACCTTTATTGTCCCTGCTCTGTGTTGTATCCCCTTCTCCCATGGATCTCGTCCCTCAGTTGTCTGCTTCAGATGCTTGGAGTGGTGGAAGCACGTGCACAGTTCCTCTGGTGTGTGACTTTCTGTAAGGACCCAGAGCCCTTTGGCATGCAATTTGCCTCGTGGCCCTGGCACCCATGGCAGGGTGGTACCCCAGGACCCTCTGGCAGTGCACTTGCAGTGTGATCCGTGGCTGGGCATACCAGATTGCTCTGTGACTCCTGGAAGCAGTCTCCTGTGGCCTGATTGGGGCACATGCTTGGTTGCTCCGGTTAGCCCTGGTGGGACTGTCCCTGGAACTGGGGTGGAGCAGGTGTGAGTTGCTCTGAGTTGCACAATCAGAGTTCTCCTGTGGCCTGATGTGGTGTTCACACTGGATTGCTCTGGGTCTCCCAGCAGCAGGTCCCAGGGCTCAAGGTAGAGTGGGTGCCAGGTGGCTCCAGTCAGACTGGCATCATGGTTCTGGGACCTGGGGTGAGGGTGGGGCACAGGGATACCCCAGGCTTGCACTCACTGCAGGGTCCTGGAGCCAGATCCTGGGTCACTGGGTTCTGGAAGGCTGGTGAAGAGGTCTGGTGTGGAAGGTCATTCTGGCAAGCACTCACTGCAGACATTGGGAGCCTGCTGGGAGATACTGTTCCATTCACTGCCAGGGCATGGTAGTGGTTCCATGTGGGTTATGGCTGGCAAGTGGCCTTCTCTAGTTATCCTCTGCCCTTCCTTATTGAAAATTGTCTCTTTAGCTGTTCCTAATTTGTTAATTCGGGTGGATGTTCTCCAATTTAGTTGCTTTTCCAGTCTGGCCCCAGGAGAAGGTGTGAGACATTTCTGCCTATTCAGCTGCCATTTTGAAATTCTTTCTTACTATTTTTTAAAATGATATCAACATCCCCCTCTAAATAACAAGCTACTGCATAAACCCAAGTGACAAATGAGCCAGGTATGAGAAAACACAGTAATGTCTGGTTCAGAACATAAAATGTTCTGGACTCCAGAAGCTCAAATCACACCACAAGTAAGACCCTATACAAATGCAAAAATAAAAGGACAAAACTCACCCAAACATACTCAAACTCTACATCATAAAATTAACATTTTAAAGATAAAGATTGTCAAATACTTTTTTTCTATGCTATACTTTTAAAATTCTAAATTATGAGAAGGGAGTACACAGGGGTAAAAGGTTCTCCAAATTAGTATAAGGAGAGTACAAGAAGGGGAAAGAGGCCTGCACTAATAGAGGAATAAATAAACCAGCATCAGTGATCTTGTCTCTCAGTGACATTGGGGGAAATGTTATTAGGAGTTTAATTTTATTCATGTCTATAGTGAATTTTATTTGAATATTTTTTGTTGTTTTTTAAAAATACATTTTTATTGATTTCAGAGAGGAAGGACGAGGGAGAAAAAGATAGAAACATCAATGATGACAGAGAATCACTGATCAGCTACTTCCTTCACACGCCCCACTTGAGTCTGAGCCTGAAACCTGGACATGTGTCTTGACCGAGAATCGAACCGTGACCTCCTATTTCATAGGTGGATGCTCAGCCACTGTACCTTGCCAGCCAGGCTCTATAGTGAATTTGTTTAGCTCACATTCTATTAGTGTGAGTAATTAGTTTAATGAGAAGGACAGGTAAGAAGAGTTAAGGTACAAATAGAATGCATAGGAGTCACCCTGATAAAAACCCATAAAAGAAGTTGGTACAGAAATGTGACACATCTTTAAAGACTAGCTAGAAAACAATTCTTTAGACTGACTCTGTTAAGCTTATGACACTGATATTCTAGCCTACATATAGGGATATAACTAATTTACCTATAGATGCTTATAGTGCTACCTCTGGCTTTGTTAAATTGTGCTTTTTCAGGGCTTTAAAAAGAACTTCCCCAATATACAATCTATTTCCAAAAAAGAGAGAATCAATCATCTTAGAGCAGTGTTTCCCAAACTTTTGACATATGTGTACCCCTTCTATAATTTTCGTAACGCTGAGTACCCCTCGTACTCATGAGAACGTAGAATTAGGTGCAGATAAGCACAGTGCAGTGCATATCCCCACCAAACTCCGGTGCAATGCCTACCCCCACCAAACTCTTCCCGTACCCCTGAGGGTATGCATATCACATTTTGGGAAACACTGTCTTAGAGTAACAACCATATAGCTTTTTAAAAAGAAACAACAATTTCTAATTTTTGGTCAGGGGAAGAAAGACAAAACAAGATAAATAACACCTTTGATAAAGTAAACAGAGTGTGTTTCTTTGTCCAATAACTGTGTTTAGCTACTAGAAAACACCGTAAATTACAAGAGTAATTATTCATGATTTCTTATGATTTCTCAACCTTTCAAATACTTTTTTACCCAAAAAGCCATCAACAAGGTTAGACCTAATTTTCTCAAGTGTCTGAAATCCATTCCTAGTGCAGTGGGAGGGGGGTTAGATGTGAAAATGAGTAATTATTTCTCTGAGTGGCTGCCATTATAAGAAGTAGAAGGAAATCCAAGTTAAACCTGTTAAAGATTTATCTCACTCCAAAAAATCAACCTTAAATTCCCACTCTCCTAACTTCCATCTACATAAGTATGAACTTGTCATGACAAAAGTTCATGTTATGAGTCCTAGCCAGTTTTGGCTTTGTGGAGATAGTGTTGGCCTCTGGACTGAAGGGTCCCAGGTTTGATTCTAGTCAAGGGCACATGCCCAGGTTGCAGGCTCGATCCCCAGTAGGGGACATGCAGGAGGCAGCCAATCAATGATTCTCTCTCATCATTAGTATTTCTATGTCCCTCTCCCTTCCTCTCTGAAATCAATAAAAATATTTTTAAAATTTCATGCTGTCCAAAACATTAACAAGTTCTAGTCAATATTTTGCTTATTTCAATCAATCTATATATATAAAGCCTAATATGCAAATTATCTCCATGGCAGTTTGATCAGGAGACTGATTGCTCACTATGACATGCACTGACCAGGGGGCAGTACAGAATAAAGGAAAGCCCTGGCCAGCAGCCAGAAGGGCCCAATAAGCACTGATCACCAGCCAGGTCTAGGGACCCTACCCGTGCATGAATTTCACGCACCAGGCCTCTAGTGTTATAAAATCCCAATATAAACCAAATGGTGTGGACCTTAAAGCAGAGTATCAAACCTGGCTATTCACTAGAATCAGCTTAGAATTTTAAAATAAAAAATATTATTAAAAAAAGAGATTTCAGAATCTACTTAATCAGAAGCTCCAAAGTCTCAGATTCTGTATTATAACCATTTTCAGGTGGTTTCTGACAACAACAACAAAAAATAGACAGATTGGCAACTAAGAAACAGAGTAGCCTTTACCAATTTTTCTCAATGGTTAGAATATTGGTCCTGAAACCAAAGGGTCTCAGGTTTGATTCCCAGTCAAGGACATGTACCTTGTTTGCAGGTTTCATCCCCCAGGTAAGGCATGTGGGGGAAGCAACTAATCAATGTGAGATGTTTCTCTCTCTCTCCTCCCTCACATCCACTTTCTCTAAAAAAAAAAAAAAAAAAAAAAAAAAAAAAAAAAAAAAAAATCAATGGGAAAACAACTTCCAGTGAGGATTAAAAAAAAAAAAAAAAAAAAATAGAGTACATTGTAATAGGATTTATATTATAACATATATTTTTTACAATAATTAGAAAAGTAAAGTTTTTTGTTTTTCTGTGCCAACTTTGAAATCTAATCCTGAAATGAAGAGATAAATGTCATGTAGTTGTAAGGATACTGTGAAGGTAGGTTTATATATATCATATGCTACATTCGCCAGGCTCTTGGCAATCATCTGGGTAGTCACCTTCTTTTGACGCAGAAAAATTTTCATTCTTGGCTTCATATACAGAATACCACAAAATGCCTATGGAACAGTGAAGGGAAAGTTATTATATGATGTAACTAATTCTACTAACATCCCCTTTAAACACTGCTAGCAACTGAGGTCTATTCTGGGTAAGGATTTGGCTCAGTTCCATACCATGTTATACTATGTGAACTACCATACTAAGGTGGTATTGAATCTATTCACTAAACACTTTTGGTGGAGCCAGTGAAAAGGAGCCCTAACACCGGGCTAAAAGACTGTAATCTCTATATAACTAAAGAGATATTGTTATATAGATTTTCATGTTACAGGAAATCTTACCTCTCATTGTTGAAGAAAAACCATTCTTACTCACCCGTAAAGAATACTCTGTTTCTGGCAGTTCAGAAGTAACACCACCAGTCTCTTTTTCTTCTGTGCCAAAGTCTGATACCAGGATATCATATTGATCTGTATCAAAGTCCAACTCAGACTTTCCATCTTTATTTCTGAGTAAAAGAGACAAGTACCAATCTAACAAAATCTGGTTCCAAAGGACAAAAATGCACTAGGAACCCAAGAGAAAAGAAACAATATGAGCCCAAACTCAGATACCTATTTTTTCCCCTGACTACCAGTACTGAATTACACATTACTCAGTTTGAAGATCACACAATATTTAGGCTATTTCCATTCTAAACAAATCTAATAATGCATTAAGAGGTGGTAATGCCAAGTATAGAAGGAAAGAAAAAAGAAAAGTGTGTATGTATGTGATCTGATCAAGCAATTGGATGTCAGTTATCCTCAAAGAAGGACCTTATAATAGATCCCAACCTTCTGGGTATTGTTGTGTAGGTCATTCAACATTATATTTCCTTACTGAATAAAAAGATGAATCAAACCTACTTTTTCTCATTGTAACAATTGTGTAAGGACTAATGAGATTTTCACAGATCTTATCTTACTTCTAAGGGAAAATGGTTATTTGCTAGTGCTCTAGAATATCATTTATGGAATTATCATTTAAATATAATAGTACTCATATTCTTTCATAATTCCTTTTTCTCATAATCATTTTGGATCACTTAGCTGTGGTTCATTCCAAGACTCTGAGTTATATAACTAACAACTGCCAGAGAAAAAAGCTAAAACCCATTTTATTCCTGATGGGTTATAGAGAAAACATATAAATCAGAACAAAACTTGTTCTGTGCAACAGTATCATCCCCAAATACTCTTAAATAGAAAGTGAAGGAGAGGGATGGAAAGGAAAGGTAGGTTGGTTGCATGACTAAACGAATAAAATTGAAAACTATTCCTGACTCTCAGAGCTACCTCAAAGCTCTAGTGATACCTCCCTTCATTCAGGCTTTGCAAGCTAAGAGCTGCTGTGGTGACAGTCTTCTAGGCTGGACAAAAGCAATTATAGCATGTAGTTTTTATAAAGCCCATGTCATTATAATAGTATATTCTGGATTTTCCTGGATAATCCTGATTCTTGCTACCCCATCCCACTCTAACACATCTCTGAGGAGCTTCCCTGTCCTTGCCCTTCACCATTCACCATCCAAGGAAAAAACGTCTGGAGAAACATTTTTTAAAATTGGGTAATGCTGCATACTATATTGCTCTTATATATTTCCAATGCATATTGCAATAACATTCACCTCTGAGAAGTCCTGCAATAAAACATCATGGTAAACTTTAAGCCAGCTTTTCCTAAAGTTATATGACCATGGAATCCTGTATTTACGTGACACCTACTACTATATGATTGACAATGTACAATGAAAAAAAGTCTGCTTCATGTATTTAAATCACTATAAATATCTCAGGAAAATGATCCTTTATAATACAAATTATATTATTTGACGTTTTCCCAGTAGGACAAAAGAAAATCTAAATTACTAGTGTGAAAAACCTCTTTACTTTTTGTTTTTTTAGTTGAAAGTACTTTATACAAACCAGCATAGTGTGTGTTTTTTTAATTTACTGATGGTTTTTAAAGAGGGTGTAGAGGGAATTAGAGAGAGGAAAACATCAATTTGTTGTTCCACTTATTAAGGTAATTGTTTCTTGTATAATATGTGCCCTGACCGGGGACAGAACCCGCAACTTTAGTGTATGAGGACAATGCTCTAACCAACTGAGCTACCTGGCCAGGGCAAGTATGTTTTTTATGTAAGTTTAACCCAGCTAAGAAAGGAAGTGAAATACTTGACTTAAGGATAAAAATAAATATACCTGATACCCTGTTCTATTAAACATAAAATAACACCTCTATTTTATAATTTTTTTTTTTTTTTAGTTTTTAGTGGACATTTAACTGTATTCCATTTGACATGACTATGTTAAACAAATGACATAATCTTGCATATTTCTAGGTTTTCTTATTAGCTCTTAAAACATAACCAGAAGCCAGCCTCATTACAGTTCAAATTTATTTGCTTCAAAGAGTTTTCTACTTCTAATTCAGTTTCTCTAAACCACTAATACAGAGGTCTTTATTTTTAAATATTGTGTTGTGCTTTGTTAATTAACCTTATGTCTCTTTTTCTTTTATTCCCCTTTTATTGAATTTATTGGGTGACAATGGTTAACAAAATTATACAGGTTTCAGGTACACAATTCCACTTCACATCATCTGTACCATGTATTGTGTGTTCACTGCCTCAAGTCAAGTCTTCATCCATCACCATTTATCCCCGATATACCCTTCTCCAGCTCCACCCCTCTGCCATAGTCACCACACTGTTGTCCATGTCCATTAGTTTTTTCTTCTTTGCTCAACCCCTCCAACCCCAACCCAGCTTCCCAACCTCCCTTCTGATGGCTGTCAGCCTGCTCTTTATTTAAGTATCTGTCTCTATTTTGCTTACTAGTTCATTTTTTCATTAGATTCCACATATGAGTGAAATCATGTGGTACTTATCTTACTGGCTTATTTCACTTAGCATAATGCTCTCCAGGTCTACCTATGCTGTCGCTAAGGGTAATATTTCCTTCTTTTAACAGCTGAGTAGTATTCCACTGTGTACTAGTAAATGTACCATAGGTGCTTTATCCACTCATCCACTGATGGACCCTTAGGCTGCTTCCAAATGTTGGCTATTGTAAATACGCTGCAATGAACATAGGGATGCATATATTCTTTTGAATTAGTATTTTGGGTTTCTTCAGATGAATTCCCCAAAGTGGAATCGCTGTATCATGAGGCAGTTCCATTTTTAATGTTTCAAGGTAATTCCATACTACTTTCCATTGTGGCTGCACCAGTCTGCATTCCCACCAAAAAGGCGTGAGGGTTCCCTTTTCTCCACATCCTCCACAGCACTTGGGGTTTGTTGATTTATTGATAATAACCATTCTGACATGTGTGTGGTGATATCTCTTTGTAGTATTAATTTGCATTTGTTGATGATTAGTGATTTTGAGCATTTGTTCATATGCCTCTTGATCATCTGAATATCCTCTTTGGAAAAAGTGTCTATTCAGGTCCTGTGCCTCTCCCCACCCCCCCCCCCCTTTTTTTTTTTTTTTTTTTGAGACTGGGAAAGGAAAGATGAAGTCCTGTCTTGGAAAGGTCAAACACAATCAAGAAGCAAAACAGTCATCAGGAGACAAATCAGACGTCTCTGTTCTGTAGGGAGACTACTGCTGCCCCACAAATGAAGGAATACTAGTCCCTCTCGATGTTAATGACAGAATTACACCCCAGCCCTTGAGTTCGGCTAATAAGGAATTCAGAGCCAAGAACTCAAATACAAGCAAATGTTTATTGAGAAAGTCATAGAGGTAGAAGAAGTGCACCAGCTGGGCTGTATGACTTAGAAAACACGTTATAGAGGCAAAGGAAGGACCATTGGAGCTTAGGAGAAAGAAAGCAAAATAAACATGCCTGAGGGAAGAGGGGGAAAGGCATGCTCCAACAGAGTGTGCCCTGGAAAGGATAGGGAGAGCACATCCTGCGCCCATTTTTAAATTGGATAGTTTATTCTTTTGGTGTCGAGTTTTATGAGTTCTTTATAAATTTTGGATATTAACCCCTTATCAGATGTATTCAGCAAGAATGTTCTCCCATTCAGTGGGTTCTCTTCATTTTGTTCACATTTTCCATTGCTGAGCAAAACTTTTCAGTTTGATGTAGTCCCATTTGTTTATTTATTTTTTTTTTTTATCCCTTGAGATATATCAGAAAAAAAAAATATTGCTACAAGAAATGTCCGAGATTTTACTGCCTATGTTTCCACCCCTCTCCCCCTAGGAGTTTTATGGTCTCACGACTTACATTTAAGTCTTTTTATCCATTTTGAGTTTATCCTTGTGTATGTTGTAAAAAGGTGGTCTAGTTTTATATCTGTCCAATTTTCCCAACACCATTTACTGAATAGACTATCTTTATGCCATTGTATGTTTTGCTTCCTTTGTAAAATATTAATTTACTATAATGGCATGGGTTTATTTCCTGGTTCTCTATTCTGTTCCCTTGACTTCTATAGATGTTTTTATGCCAGTACCATACTGTTTTTATTATTTTGGCCTTGTAATAGTTTGCTATCAGGTAGTGTGATTCCTCCAAATTTGTTCTTCTTTCTCAAGATTGCTATGGCTATTCAGGATCTATGATATATGTCATTGGTATTTTAATAAGAATTGCATTGAGTCTAAAAATTGCTTTAGGTATTATGGACATTTTAATGATGTTAATTCTTCCAATCCATGAACACACTTATTTGTGTCTTCTTTAATTTCTTTCTTCAGTATCTTATACTTTTCTAGTCCACGTCTTTTACATCCTTGCTTAAATTTATTCCTGGGTATTTTTATTCTTTTTGAAGTAATTGTGAGTGAGATTGTTTTCTTAGTTTCCCTGATGGTTCATTATTGGTGTACAAAAACGCAACTGATTTATGGATATTTATTTTGTATCCAGCCACTTTACTGAATTCATTTATCAGTTCTAGTTTTTTTGGTGGAATCATTAGGGTTCTCTATATTCACTATCATGTCATCTGCAAATAATTACAATTTTACTTCTTCCTTTCCAACTTGGATGCCTTTTATTTCTTCTTCTTGTCTGATTGCCATGGCTAGGACTTCCGGGAGTATTTTTGAGTAAGAATGATGAAGGCAGACATCCTTTTCTTGTTCCCAATCTTAAAGAAAATGCTTATTAATGTCTAGTTTTCATATTTTATTTTCATTGTCAAATAAGTTAAATAACTATCATGTACCTATCTCAAGACAGTGATGATGAATATAAAATAGATATTTATAACGGATTCTAAATATTTTAGAATAACATTGAACTGTTTGATTATTTGTGGCAATAGCTTCAGGATATGCACGTCTCTTCATTATCAAGCTCCACATTTTACTAATAAGAACCACTATCTCTCACAGAGCTGAGGTTGTATGAAAGAAAAAGTATGCAATGAAAGGCAAATATCTATCAAAATTTATCTACTTTGCTTCTCTAGAAATGTATTGAAATGTACTTCATCACACTACCTTTGCTTATTAAAATCTATCACCCTTGGTATACTATACCTGCGGATGTTCCAAATGAGAACACGAGTGCCTTTTTTGCCTGGGATGGCATCAAACTGGGACAGCAGATCGTTTTCACTGTTGAAAATTGAATAGTTCAGGATGGCTTCTAGGCTGGGCAAGGAATCCTCAGTAATAATCATTTTTTGTAAAACCAATACAGTCAAAGAAAAATTAATATTTTAAGAAGATGCTATAATTAGGAAGATCTGCCTTTTGAGTTGCATGTTTAGACAAAATATAGACATATAGCATGGGCATCACTGCTACAGAAGAAAGGAAAAGGCAAAACGAATAAAGGTTGTAGAGACAAACATAAAAATCAATTACCGCTGCAGAATATAGCTTCAAAAATATAATGTAAAGACTGTCCTAAATATACAAAATGGAACAAAGGCTGAATTTTCAGACTTTTTGGAAGCAATGAGCTCAAACTTTACTGCTCTAGGGTCAAGAGGACCTGATATCTAACAGAAATAATAGCTTGTCCAGGAATGAGGAAATGAGCGATTCTGCCATCAGATAAGCTGATAATAGAAGGTTTCTAGCAGTATGATACAAATATAGCTGCCCTTAGGGGAAAATAAAGAGAGGGGGCATTTTATCAAGGGAGTGGTGGTGTGAGAGAGATAGAGATCAAATCACATAACAGTGAAATTTTCCATACAACAAAAACATTTCTAGGCTCTGTCAATGGTCCACTTATTTTTAAAAAACATTTAATAGGGGAGGAATTTAAGTTAAATTTAGGACAGTTGAAATGATAGCTGGATTTGTCATGAAGAAAGAGGTTTCTATCAAAATATCAGATTAGACTAATTTTTAACCAACATTTCCAGAAAGGATATTGTTTTGCTGGTTGAATGGAACAATTGGTACAATAACTGCCTGGGCCTGGACATATTCCAGGTAAGTCTGTGATAGGAGTCCAACAGTGAGAGTACCCCCATTCTTGGTGAAGACAAGAGCATCCTTTCCTAGCCGCATGGAGCCTGACTTGAAACCATTACCAAAGACCCCGATGGGACACTGGCTCTTCTTTATTACTTTATCTGTAAAGCCAAAGCTGTAATTACACAAGAAAAAATAAATCAGAAAAAAGAAAGCAGAAAGATAAAAAGCATCCTATGATAGATGACAAGCAGAATGTTTAGCTTACAAATGAATAACACTTGTAAAAAGTCATTCCTTTTTTACTGTTGCTATTCTGGGCAAAACTATTAAGTTAAAAACATAGGAAATTACTATGGGGTAATGGGACTGATTTTCCTGTATGGTTTGTGTGTACATAAATATTTCCAGTACATTAGTGTCACATTCTATAAATGTAAAGGCGGCCTCCTTTTACTAAGAAAGATAACTGGAGACGGTCATGGGTCTAGAGAAAATGGCTCTGATTGCTAATAGTAAGGTAAAGGTAGGGTAAAAGGGTGGTTATCTCAGAGTACACTGTATAGAGGGTAACAAAAGTACTACCAGATAGTGGCACTGGTCAGATGTGCCAGCCTAGGCATCCCCTAACCTGGTTACATCACCTTCTAGAAATCTGAAAGTCAAAGGTTATATATCTAAACAATTTCAACTCTCCACCCAAAAGATAACCCTTCCAATTCTTACCCTCGGCTTAATCTGCTGGGACAGTTTGTTGGAATGTGGCCAAGGGATAAAAATAGGTAGTTCTTCCTCTGAATATCAGCAAACAGCTGCAGTATAAAGTCTCTCTTATTCTATTAAGGGCATTTCAATGAGTCACCTCAACGATCTCTGTATCTCTTTATGATCAGTTTAATCTGTGGGTCAGATCTTTCCCCTTTCATAATTCTCCATTCAAACATGCAACAAAATAATAGAACCAAAAAAATAGATATGAAACCTATAAAATTATTATTATCTTCCTCATATATCTTCTCTCACCATAAATAAAAGTAATTTTAAGGATTATTTCTCTCCAGATTGACTATGTTTACAGTGTTATATACTACCATTCATCCAATAAATATTTACTAAGTACCTATTATGTGCCATGCATTGTGCTAAATACTGGAGACAAAACTGTTAATAAAAGAGACAAGATTCTTGTCCTTGTGATTTACAGTTTAAAGAAAGATTTCATATATTACAGATTAGATGCTTCCCCAATATCAATAAACTAGATACTCTATATGCTATGTCAGAACAGCATGGGCTTGGTTGTTATACTTTTGAGCAAGATTAAGATGCCTGGTTTCCACTTCCTGATGGCTGTGGTTTGTTTTTTTCCCTAAGAAGAAGTACCATCTTTCAATTTTCTTTTTCAAAGTGTTATGTCCTTCTAGAGTAAACAATTTACAAGAGCTTTGTGCACCCTACAAATAAATATAACATAAGGAAAAATAATTTCTAGGGCAGTAGTTCCTTTGAAAATCCCAAAGACTGTTGTCTTTTTGCTATCTATGGGCCTTAGTATTCCAGGAAATAAACTTACAGAAGTTGGTAAGATTAAGACATTCCTATTTCTCTAATGAAAAAAAAAATTGGATATAAAAGATTTGGTTATTTTGAGGAATAAATTATATACTATATGCACAATATATTATAAAACTAGGGGCCTAGTGCATGAATTTGTGCACCTTGAAAGCAAGGCTGTGGTAGGCACAGGGGTGGGTCTTGGCCCATCCTCTGCATCCCAGTCTAGCCACTCCCACCGCTGCCCCCAGTCCCCTCTCTGCCAGCAGCCCTGCTTCTGCTGCCAATGCTCCCATGCACTAATGGCACTGGCCCAGCTTATACCCGCTGATGGTATGGAATGATTGAGGCTGGTGCCAGCAGTGGGTGCAAGCAGAGGCTGCTGCCCTGATCACCCCTCAGGAGCAGGGGGAGGTAAAGAAGCCCTCAAGGGTGATTGGGACTGGCAGCCACCACTTGCACCGGCTGATGGCACCAAGAGCTTTGTGCCTGAATTCCACTCAAAGAGCTGGTATCCAAGCCCCCTTGGTGTGTAAATACTGTTGGCTCCAGCACCAGCAGCAGGTGCGAGAGGGGCTGGCTCCGGCAGCAAGTGCAAGTGCCAGGCAGGACCGTGGCACAAAGAGTTTTCAGTAACCACCAGCGCCCCACCTTGTTCTGGAATCCCGCTCATCTGCTCCACCATCCCACTAAGGTCGATGCCCGCCTTGTTCTAGGCACGCCCCCTGGTGGTCAGCGCACGTCATAGTAACTGGTTCTTCAGTTGTTCCGCAGTTCGGTCTATTTACAAATTAGGGAGATATATATATATATATATATATATATATATATATATATATATATATATATAATATTCAAATTTGAATTTTAAACCAACTCTAGAAGTCATTCTGAGAATTGTTTGTATGCTATCCTCTAGTTCCACTTCAGACCTAATATCATACATAAAAATCAAGGTTCTTCATAAGCAGTAACCTACCATGTGAAATGAACCTATATGGTTATCTGAACTTAAACTTTCTCTACTGGTACAAAAACTTCAATTAGGTGATAAAGAGAAAGTAGTGAAAACATAATTCTATATCACTCTCTTAATTTCCTAGCCATTCCTGTCCTTTCTGCCATCTATCATTTCCCCTTTGTGAGTATAAATCTTGATTGTGTTAGTTTGAGAAGACCAAATGACTGTACAAGGTTGAGAAAGTAAGTAGTAGGGTAGGTCCAGAACAAGAAATGGAAATGGTTATGAATAATGAAAAGAGAGAATTTGGAACTCTGGATATTGTTGTTATGTTCCACTTAATTCTCCCCGTTGTTCTTTTATTCCACTTCACAGTCCCATGCTAGGTATTCTATTTACTGAAAATTGCAGAATGGATGCCAGATACCAATCAAATAACTACCTAATATAAAAGCCCTCACAATAAATAATAGAATTGTAGGAATGAATTTTGTATAGTTTGGTATAGCTCACTCATTTTCCACAGAGTTAGCGTGGCTTACATAGGTGGTTTCAAATCACTAAGTCCTATTCTATCCTTTCATGTAAGAGATCACAGTATTTACACACCAAGGGGGCTTGGATACCAGCTCTTTGAGTGGAATTCAGGCAGACAACAGCTTGTTCCTAACTTTATTAAAATGTCAATATTCTAGAATCTAGAGAGGAGAATTTAGATTGGGACTCTGACCAATGAAACAAACCTTAGCAAATCCATGAACATATAAGGGTGGGCACTTCTGTTTCCCAGATACAATGGAGATATAATATGCAATATCAAAGAATGAAAGACTAAGCACGTTGCTATTCTCTTGCTGTTGTTTTGAAAAATGACCTACTAGGAAATGCACTTCTGAGCAGAGTTAGCAACCAAATACATTCAATCCATGGATCTGTGGCTGATGTTTACTCTTGTCCTCTCAAAGAAGAGGTTTTCCACCTTGCTGAACAAGGCAGCTGAATATATAGACCAGCTGGTTCACACACTAATCGCAGAAGCTAAAGATAATTAATTATCGGCCTTAAATAAATTTAATGATAGGCTTTTACTTTTTTATTTTCATGGGATTCTGTATTTATGGAGAAACTGTTGCTGTAGTTACATAACTATTTTATTTACCTGAAAATTGGAAGGTTACCATAAAGAGCTGGAAAATGTGAATAGGATTATAAGAAACATTATAGATCGAATTGAATTTCTGTAGGCTTAATAATTTTGCACATCTACTTCTATTATTTTTTCCAAATATAAAGGTAATATTCCCCCAACCCATATAAGAAAAATTAATGTACTTACCGTATTTTTCGGACCATAAGACACACTTTTTTCCCCCAGAAGTGGGGGGAAAAAGTCCCTGCGTCTTATGGTCCAAATATAGCCTACACATATACTTTTAAAAAAAAGTTTTTTTACTTGCCCGGCTCTGTGTGGTCTCTGTGTGCTTGCCCGGCTCTAAAATGGTTCTAAATGCTGCTGTTTACTTTACAGGGTTGATTACATGTGTTTATGACTGTGATGTTGGGTTTTAATGCACATAAAATATTTTAGGACACTATTTGTTTCAGAATCTTTTTTTCTTCATTTCCCTTCTCTAAAAACTGGTGCGTCTTATGGTCCGGAGCGTCTTATGGTCCGAAAAATACGGTAATAATAATTTTCAAAGCTACCTCAAAGTTCAATTATTTTTTAAAAAATTATGGTAAGTGGAATCCTTGGCTAGAAGTTAGGATTGGATTACTAAATGATCTCTTCTAAATAAATGAGATCTCCTAACAGATTCAAGTTTGTTTTAAGTTACAATCAGAAATAAAATACAGCACATATATCATATATAATCCAGGACTCATTAAAAATTCTTTAAAATTAATATTTAAATATGAGGAAAAATTTCCCAGCTCAAATTGGTGGAAAATATATTTGGCATGGTAACTCCAAAAAATGCTATGGTGAAAGAGGTTTCTGCCTGTTTAGGTCTCTTTTGTTCTCTGAGAAAAAAATGAAATTTTAAATGAATGATACATATTTCTCATATTTCAACTCAAATGTCATTTCTTCAGGGTAGCCTTTTTTTGTATTCCATATATTAGAGCAGCTCCCATCATTATATGTTCTCATAGAAACTACTTTTCTCATAGCAGTTATTACTAGGTGGGATAGCCTATTTAAATATTATTACTTCTAATTAATCCTTTTCTATATTTCTCTTTAAACCATCAGTCCCTTGAGAGCAAAGATCATGTCTGACTGGTTCACCAACTTATCTCCAGTAACTTTTACATAGATGTCCAGTAAAAATTTGTTGAGTGAATCTGGAACAAAAATTTTTGCAATTATTTTAAAAACCATCCTCTTTTTTCCTCCTGCTTTGTAACTATAAGCACCAATTTTCACAGACGAAATGGAAAGTGGTAAGATCTGCTGGGCACACTATTTGACACCAACATCACTGGAATAAAGTGTGGTGGGAAGGAGTTTGTAAAAAGATAAGTGATTTATTTACTTAATACGTTAAGTGCCCAGTCACCAGTGACTGACATTATACTTTCCATCCGGAAGACAAAATAGGCTGGGCGCTTAAAGTTTTAAATATATTTTTATTAAATTCAGAGAGGAAAGAGGAAGAGAGAGATAGAAACATCAATGATAAAGAGAATCATTGATCGACTGCTGTCCCCTACTGGGGATCGAGCCCACAAACCGGGCATGTGCCTTTGACCAGAATCAAACCCAGGAACCTTCAGTCCGCAGGCCAATTCTCTAGCCACTGAGTCAAACTGGCTAGCGCAAAAGATAAGTGATTTAGATAAACTAGTACATACGGAATTAGACATATAAATATTGTTGTTCCATCCCATCTAAAATTTGTATTTAATAAAAAATATTAACTTTAGCAGATAAAAGTGATGGCTAGCTCTATAACTTCAACATACTGAACACTTTTTTATCTCACTTCTAGATGCCTTCCTCAAACATTCTTCTAATTATGAGGGTCTGAGACACAAGGTACACAAACTGCTGAGTAGTAAACCATAACCAAATTTATAATTAGTTATGCCCAAATTTCATTTCTTTCCTTTGATAGATCAACTGAATTCCCCTACAAATAGGGTTACAGAATTTGAATACCTTCAAAAAGAATTACAACAAAATGAATGTTTTCCAATTCTATAGTTTGAAACCCTTTCCCCTCCATAGAATCCTTCCATTGTTACTCATGCTTCACATACTAGTTCAGGAAGCAAGATGGAGAGTAATCAACCTCATCTACTAAATAAAATGAAGAAAGAAGAAAGGAATTGAGAAAATACTCATCTTTCACTGAGTGATATATGAAGATCATAAAGTTACATTCTCAATCACAAATCCTTTCAAGTAATTAGCTGAACTGAGAATAGCAATAGAAATCATTGCTATAAAGACCGCCCTGGCAGATACATCTGGATCTACAGCATTATCTATTTCATCACCAGCTTCAACAGCTATAAAAGAGAATTTCCTGACTTTGAATTTCTACTGTAAAATCTTTAAAGATTATGTATATAAATGCCTTGTATTTATCTTTTATGGGACTTGATTGTACCCAGCTACATTCATAGTTTTAATCCAAAGATCATCCTAATTCCAATACTTCTGATCTTAGAGTAATTTAGGTTAATATAAATTATAGAAGGTCCCAGACAAGAGATTGCCTCCACATCTTTGCACTTGCTCTTCTCTTCACCAGAATTCTATCCCTTCATACCCTGTTCCTTTACCTTGTTAAACTTGAATACTCATACTTAGATCTTAACTAACACTTCATCTATGGCGCTTTTTCTGATCTCTTAGACCAGATTGCATTCCCCTGATTAATAGTCCCATGGCATCCTAAATTTTCTTATCATTATACTTATCATTTTATTATGATTACTGGAGGCCTAGTGCATGACATTTGTGAACTGGGGGGTGGGGGGTGTCCTCAGCCCAACCTGCACCCTCTCACAGTCCAGGACACCTTGGAGGCAGGCGGACATTCCCTGAGGGATCCTTAAGCACAGCTGCAGAGGCAAGAGAGGCTCCCACCACCACTACTGCGCGCTCTCCAGCCTTGAGTCTTGCTTCTGGCTGAACAGTACTTCCACTGTGGGAGAGCACTAACCACCAGGAGGTAGCTCCTGT